AGGCGCACGGGAGCGAGCTGGCAGATACTACACGAACACGTGTGTACCCGTGGGTGCGTGGTGCCCCAGGGTGACGAGCACGGGTGAAGTAAAAAGTTTCACCGGTCGCTGACGACGGAGACAGGTACGGGTTTAAAATTGTGTCGCGGTGCGGGCGTGAGGAGTCTCTACCCGTGGATAACGTGGCGGTTGCCATCCTACTATGGAGACGGCGTAGACGATCGGGATAGATACGCGTCACAAGCAGCGTACCACACAGGCGACAGGCCTGAGCTCGACGCGATCACGCCACCTCGGCCACGAATCAGGTCAAAAACCGTCGGCGATGTCGCGTTGGCCCCCCGATTTTCCCACCACGTGCGGCACGGGCCGAGCTGCTCCCATGAGCGCGACACGGCATCTCTGCCCCCGCCCCGCCGCCAGGGTCCCACAGGGTCGACTGACTCGCACCCAGTCCAAGGCCGACCGCGGACGTTGCCTCACCCGTCCCATCTACGTACCCTTCGAGGGCAGCGGGACGGACGACGCGCGCCGCACTCCACGGACGACGATTCGTACTCCACCGCGCTGGACTAGTAGTAGACCGTGACCCTCGCGCCTGCTCCGCCGCTCAACTTTAATTTTGGTTCTCCGTGCCGCGGCGCCTTTCCGTCCCGCGGAGTGCGGACTGTGGCCGGCGGCGACCAAAAGCAGGCAAGAACCGCACGATGCGTGGCAGGTCTTGGCAGGCGCCGCTCGGCACAGAATACGGCGGAGCCAGCTTTTCAAACGGTGCGGGTGCGGGTGCGGGTGCGGGTGCGGGCGGACGTGGATGCGTAACCACGGGCGCGTCCGCGCGTGGGGCTCTGTGGTCAGATGACATCACGGCACGCACCGTGCGTCACGTGACGGGTGCAGTGGCCAGGTCTGGGGGCTACGGCCTACGGCCCCTACTACGGCATGGTCAGGCTGTGCGCCTGTTCCAGCGGCGCGGGGTCATGTCGGGTGACCGCTGCACGGACGGACGCTTAACTGGCAGCGACAATTCAAAGCATATGCGGACGACGGACGGTATCGTCCTCGGTTCCTCGCCGTCACGTCCTCGTCTGCCGACGCTGTCGCTTTCTAACAATTTGTTTGCAAAAAATACCCTGGTCCCTCCGTCTACTAAAACGCAATTATAACTTTAAATATAGACATGCATTTAAACCGATTCAATGCTAGAATTGTGTTTCTTTTTAGGACGGAGAGAGTAGTTCTATTCTTTTTTAAAACACGGGTTCTTATGCTATCTTAAGTTAAAATATTTTAAATTTTAACAAAAACTATCAAGAGTGCCAATACTTATATAACATAAAATAGATATATCTAAAAATATAATTCATAATAAATGATTCAATACTTATTTCATATCAAAAACAAATGATATTTAGAGATGCGAGGGTATGAAAGCAAAAGTATCTATAAGGCAATGGGTATGAACACAAAATCACCTTTAGCATTCAGAGGCGAGGGTATGAACACAAAATTCGGTTTAATGCAGGATAAAACTAGAGATGCGCTTTTATGACAACAGGAATATCTATAAGAATGTAAAATATGTTGTGCAAAAAACGTACTATACTAGCTAGAGACATGGAATCGATTTAAAAAGAGTATTCCTTTTGATTAAAAAATCCGAAATTTGGCACATCTGTAGTGCATACAAATATGTAATATGTACTCACACGCAAAACTTGATACGCAAACTCATTATTAAAAAATTCAAATAAAAATGATAAATTTCAGGTGTATGTACACCATAAGATAAATTAGAGTGATTTTGTCTTCAAGTGCACATGTATCTAAATTTTATCATTTTGTATGAATTTTTTAGTTTGAGTTGCATCCCAAGTCTTGCATGTGAGTACATATTAGTATGCACTATTGATATAGCAATTTTGAAAAGTTTCGAACGACCAAAATACGTATTTTGAATTAGTATGTTTCCACCTAGATGGTGGCTCATAGAGACTCAGTTGCACTAGAGCTAGTGGCGACCGTCAAGCTAGCGCCGACAAATTGTGTTCTCGGTGAGCGGCACCTGCAGCTGAGCATCCACCAAGGATGCTAGGTTGACGTGTAGATCCCACTGATAACAGGTGGGCCCCATAGTTAATCCTTGTTAATGATGTCAAAAGGCTATCCACCTCATTCAGCCCCATAGTTCATCTTTGTTAATGGTGTCAAAAGGCTATCCACCTCATTCGTCTCCGTCCCTTCTACTAAGGGCATGTTTGGTTCAACCCACCTAAAGTTTAGTTACTAAAGTTTAATCACTTTTAGTCACTAAAATACCAAACACCCTGACTAAATGGGGTCACTAAAGTTTAGTGGCTTTAGTCACTAAGGGGTAGCTAAAAGTGACTAAAAGTAGTCCCAGGTGACTTTACTCTGTTTTTCTCTCCTCTCCTTTTCACTTTAAGTCTATTTTTAGCACATGAATCCAAACAGGAGGTGACTAAACTTTAGAGTGGAGACTAAAGGAAACGAACATGGCCTAAATCAAAAAGTAGAATGTACCTATCTCTTTTGAGCAAATATGAGACGAGACGATCTCATCCAAAGAGTAGGGTTGGTATCATCTCATCTCATATCATTTTGAAACCAACATGGTCAACTACAACTCAAATTTGTGATTGCTTTCACATCTGATCTCAAGCCGTGAAGGTTAATTCTTTTCCTTTTCCGATAATGGCTTGCATGCATGGTTACCCTTTAAGAAAAATCATGGCTATCCTTGAAGAAACAATGGAGATACTACTAACGAGTGGTATATAGTTCTCTTTATATTTGTTTTGCCTTTTCCTTATTCGAAGAAACCATGATTGCCCTATGCTAAGTAGTGGAGTAAGTTCCGTTGGATGTCTATAGTTGTTTCTGTTTGCCATTGACGGAGCTAAGGCCAGGCCAACCTGGGCCTTGGCCCCCCCTCGCCGGAGGCCGGAGCCTAAGTATTAATTTTAGGTTACTAATCAATATTTAATTGCCCCTTTTTTAATTTCCATACTAATCTGCAGAGCTATTCTATATATATTGCCTATATAGTGTACTAGAAGTTACTATTTAAATGTTGATTTGTACTTAATAGAGTCTACTTGATACCATTTGTTGGATATTTGAGGTCTTAATTTGCATAAAGTTTATGATTAGTTACTAATTGATCCGGTATTTGTGTACACTTTGAGCTTCATAAGACAAATTGGCCCCTCCTACAAGTTGATGCTAGCTCCGCCACTGCTCCCAGCTGGTCATTTTGACAAGTATGTTTGCCCCCCTGATTCCGGAAAATATTTGGCGTGCCTTCGATGGCACGGCAAATCCCAGGGCTCCGGGCTCTGGCGAAGTGGCACGGGATAGGAACAGGACGTCAAAACCGGACTGTAGAGCGGCCGCTTTGCTTCGGAGCGCGGTCCCACCACGTCAACAAAACGCCGTACCGCACCCACGTCTCCCGCGATCCACATCCATCGCCTGTCGCCGCAATGGGCCTCTCTGGGTCCCTTGCCTTGATGAGCGGCCATACGACACCCACCCGCTGTGCGGTTGCGGTCCCACACCCACCCTGCCCGTGCTGTCCCCCACTCCACGACACGCTTCCTCCCACGTGAACCTGCGGCCAACAGACCCATGACACGTCGCGGCCCCGGCGGTGTGCGCGTTCACGCGTCGTCGTCCTGGCCCATGACATGGAGGAGTAGCTGACTGGGTGGGACCTCGTTGCGCTATGCCCCCAGCCCCCGCAGGTCATTGTCCGTCGTCTGTGTGAGCACGTCGTTTTGGTCCTGTCTCCGCCACCTTTTATTGCTCGCGGCGAGTAGACGACAAAACAGTCCGAGAACGACAGGGACGTGCATGCATGCAAGTTTCACTGACTCGTAGGTCCCAGCGTCGTGGAAAAGTTGCTCCTCCGTTCGGCGCCGCTCGCTTGCACACCACTGCACGTCTGCACCGGCAGCTGTGTGAATGCGAAATTGACCGGACAGAGCTCAGGTCTCAGGAGAGGAGACGCTGGAGAGCCTGATGGTAGACTACTCGTAGTAGGGCCTTGTTTAGATACCATCCAAATTTCAAGTTTTTTCACTCTCTCTCCATCATATCAATTTTTAGCCGTTTGTATGGAGTATTAAATGTAGGTAAAAAAAATAACTAATTACACAGTTTAGTTGGAAATCACGAGATGAATCTTTTGAGCCTAGTTGGTCCATGATTGGACAATATTTGCCAAATAAGACGAAAGTGGTACTATTCATCGAGTTGAAAAAAGTTGCAATCTAAACGAGGCCCAGTAGTAGTGTGCCGAGCTGGGCCATGTTTAGTTGCAGCCGGATTCGGCGCCGCCGGATACCCAGAGCACTCGTTTTGTTTTTATTTGGTAATAATTGTCCAATCGTTGACTAATTAGGCTTAAAACGTTCGTCTCGCAAAGTACAACCAAACTATGCAATTAGTTTTTGATTTCGTCAATATTTAGTACTCCATGCATGTACCGTAAGTTTGATGTAACGGGAAATCTTCTTTTTGCATAGTGCCAAATTCAGAAAATTTGGGGAACTAAACATGGCCCTGGCGTAATGATGAACGCGAGAGTTCACATGGGAATGGAGGCGGGGTGTGCACCGTGACAGCACGGGCAAGACCAGTGGAGTGGTCCCGGCGAGACGTCAAATGTCGCGGCGGCTGTGCCGTGCTTCCCCCCTGCCACGCCCACCGGCCACCGCACCGGTGTCCGGACCCCAACCGATATCCTCTCTCTCTCTCTCTCTACGGTTACGACCCGCCCCATTTCTCGTGACCGGAGATGGATCACAGATGTGTACTAGCAGCGACCATTTGCTCACAAAAGCCCAGCGTACCTGCTCTACGCCGTGCTCTCCCAGTCTCCATTCTTCAGCCTTGCCCTTGTCGCAAGACCAAACAAAAAACCACGCACGTTGCTGTACACACCAAGCCCTACACCTCTCAGCTCTCGATTCCGGATGATGGATCCCACGCTACGGGCAGTGCTGGGCCATGGCGGAGGCGACGGCGGCAGCGGCGGGGCGAGGGGAGGAGGAGGAGGAGGAGGAGGAGGCGGCGGCGCCGCGCACTACCGGGGCGTGAGGAAGCGGCCATGGGGCAGGTACGCGGCCGAGATCCGCGACCCGTGCAAGAAGACGCGGGTGTGGCTGGGCACTTTCGACACCCCCGTGGAGGCCGCCCTCGCGTACGACCGCGCCGCGCGCACCCTCCGCGGCGCCAAGGCCAAGACCAACTTCCCCGACCACGCCGGCCAGCAGCACCTCCATCTGGCGCCGCTGCTGCGTCAGCCACCGCCGCCGCAGCCCGTCTCGTTCGCAGGCGTCGACTGCCCTACCCCGTGGCGCCATTTCGTCTACTTCCAGGCCCTGACAACGGCCGCCGCCCCGCTTTCCCCGACTGCAGCGATGCCGCCGCTGGCAACCGAGCCACCGTCAACGGCGCTGGAGCTGGGCACGGGCCAAAGGCGCGGCGGCCTCCCCTTCGACCTCAACGAGGCGCCGTCATGCTGATGCTCGATCGGATTGTGACGAGGCTGCAGTGTCGAAGGTGGTGGTGAGCAGGTGAAGGCTGGGCTGCCCGGATGGGCAAGGCCGCAAGGGCGTGAGCAGAGGTAGAGTAGTGGGGTGCAGTGCACTGGTCCGGCTAGCTGTACATACCTATTTAAGGAAAGCTTAGGCCTGTCTTGCTGGGCTCGCTCATTTGTTTTCGTTTAAGCGCTGCCATTTCTGGTGCCCTGTGTCGGTAATGGTGGAGTGGGTGCTTGTTTCACCGCAGGAGGTAAAAGGGAGGCAGGCAGTACTAGTGTAGGTTCGGCTGGGTCCTTGGTGCTGTTGGTGGCCTTCTCCACCGACGGCGCGCCGCGAAGAGGGCGTTCTCGTGCGGTCGTCGTGCTCGTGCGTGACCAGGGGCAGGGGCCCAGGCTGCTGTACCTTTTCGGCCAGGCGCCCGCACCCCGGTATTACCACCTGCACATGCGGTCTTTCCCGGGATAATGCGCTTGCACCAATCCACTGCGACAGCGGAGTGTAACTCCGTGCACATGGTTTACGGATCCTTGGTATGCTGCCGTGAGCTACGTGACATGTTTATGCTTTACAGTGCTAATTAGCCGTGCGAGACGGAGTGTGCACGGGCCAGAGACACTCTTGTAAAATATAGACAATGTTTCTAGTAAGTACCACCGAGTATGTCATGGTTGTGTCAGGGTCAACGTGGGAATTCAATGCCTTGCAGTGCAGTGAAACATTTTATGGATATTAATCGATGAATCAGAAACTCAACAGACCTTAACGAATCCACAGAGCACAGGAACAGTGCACGTTAAAAGCGGCGTGTACTCTCCCACTCATAAAAAAAAGAATAGAAGTCGCCTCGCCCAACTTTTTAATTCCTTTTTCTTAATTGATTGGCAGATCTAGTTCTAGCAATTGAGCAACGGAGTTCGAGCTCCTCCTAACGCTTCACTTCGTTCTACAAGCTCGTGCCATCTGCGTTTTTTTTACGACTAGTTTCTCTTGGAACCAAAGATCTCACGAGCGTTAGTTAAAGAAAAAAATCTCACGAGCGTTTTGGACATAAACCAAGGCAAATTTGGTCCACAGTTCAAACTTTCGCTTACTTGACCGCAGGGCTCGGAATCTTTGCAGACAACCAAAACGCCTCTGTGCCTCGCAAGTCGCAACAGAACAGGAAACTGCAGGCAGCATCTATCCATCAGCACGACATAGAAGGCCCAAGTTTGCGGGTGCTATAGGTTGGGTTACGAGAGCTCAGAGTATTGGGCTGGGCTGTCTCCCTGCGTCGGCCTATTTCTGGGTTTCTTAAATGGGCCAACTTGATGATCCACCGATGTACCTAAATCAGGCTTCCTTTTGAGAACGGGCTTTCATGGGTAGTATATTGCTATATTTCTATTTTAATTTTAACAATGCCATATTAGAACGTGGAATCAGTATATGTAAATGCCTTTTTCGCTTTAACGATTGTTGGATGACAATAAACTTGAGAAGAGCAGCTCGTTTTGGATTGGAAAAAAAAGATCATTTTGGCGGAACAAAGATTAGTCCGGCACGCTACGGCGGTGCTGAACTGACTGCACTGCATTCGATTTCGATTTAGTGACGCACTCTCATCAATAATTTTATGTTCCATGTAGAATTAAGAAAATTCACTTGAAAAATATTCCATTCGCCCCACAAAAAATGTCATTCTCACCTCTCAAGAAGTTAAACATTTTCAACTTCAACTAAATATATATAAGAAAATATTAATATTTACTATGCATAATCAGTATCAGTAGACGAATCGTTGAATACATTTTTACAATAAACTTATTTGGAGATACAAATAATGGTAATATCTTCTATAAATCTAGTCAAACTTAACGAACCTCATAGCACACTCTTTTTAGAACAGAGGGAGTACTCACCATAATTAGATCGTGACCATTTTTTTTCCTCTCAAGTTGATTTTCTATTCAATTTTATACGTCTTAAATAGTACAACACTTTATCCTTTGATGTTAGGGGGTGTTTGGATTCAGGGACTAAAGTTTAGTCCGTGTCACATCGGACGTTTGGATGCTAACTAAGAGAACTAAATATGAGCTAATTAAAAAACTAATTACACAGGAGTAGACTAATTTACGAGATGAATCTATTAAGCCTAATTAATCCATCATTAGCACATATTTACTGTAGCACCACATTATCAAATCATGGACTAATTAGGCTTAAAAAATTTGTCTCTCAAATTAGTCGCAATCTGTGTAATTAGTTATTTTTTTAATCTATATTTAATACTCCATGCATGTGTCCAAATATTCGATTGGACAGGGACTAAAATCCGGTCTAAGGAACCAAACAGCCCCTTAATATGTGCACATAGTAAAATCTAGTATAATCATTTATGAGCCTCATAAAATATTTTTTGCCACCTTTGGCCAACATGCCTTTCAATTCACACAAATCAAATGAAAAAGTAGTTTGATACTACTCCCTCCATCCCAAATTGTAAGTCATTCCAAGAATCTTGGAGAGTCAAACTTTTTCAAGTTTGACTAAAATTATAGAGAGAAACACAAAGATTGATGACATCAAATAGGTATAATATGAAAATATAACTAATGAAGAATCTAATGATACTTACTTGGTATGATAAATATTATTATTTTATTATATAAATTTGGTCAAACTTGAAAAACTTTGACTCTCCAAGATTCTTGGAATGACTTACAATTTGGGATGGAGGAAGTAACTCCTAAATTAAGTGCCAGTTTGGGAGAGAGATATTTTTATAGTAATTTTATTTAAAGAAACATTAACATTATTTCCTATAAATATACACCATCGGTTTTATTTTATCTAGCGTAAGTTAGAATGACACGGTCTCTTAGATTATACTTTAATCATTCATTTGCTTTATATTATATTATTTATGCTTATAAATTTATAATCATTGGATAGTATAATTCCTTACAAATCTAATCATATACGGTTTGTATTATAATAGTTAATAATTATTAGCCTATTATTTATTAAAGTTTTTAAAGTTTGAATCTTGATATGCATGCGCGCCGGATAAAATGGTAGTAGTTATTTTTTAAAATGATATAGTTTAAAGTATAATTGTAGCTTTTTTTTGGATGAGTGAGTACGCTCGGAAGAAATCTCTACTTTATAGTTTTTGTATACAACATGATTCAAAAATGAATGACCTACAATGTCAGAAATCACTGGAGAAAAGAAAAAAAAAATAGAGTTGTGAGAGGACGGACACGGCTAGACCCGAGAGGTGGCCACGGAGAATCCTCTATAGGTCAAAGGTGCTGCAGGCAGGCAGTCAAAGCGGAGGCGGTGGACGATTAGTTTAAGCAGCGTGTGTCACGGACAGAGGGGGACACCTTCCGCGCGATCCGTGCGCCAACGTATGTATGTACTCCGACTAGCAACGTACTCCATGATGATTTTCTTGGCTGCAACTAGCAACCTGCAACTTGTGGCTAGTCCACCGTAATCACGTAGCTTAACCAGGCTAAATCCTGGTCTAAACAAATTTACATGCTTTTCATGGTGTTTGGTTTCCTCATTGGATGCCCCATCTTAGGGTCCATGCAAGTAGCTCAACTTATTTCTTTTGTGAAACGGTGTGCAAAATGGTATCAAAATCAAATTGACATATACTCGCAAAGAAGTAATTTAAAATGTTGTCAAACTGCACCAGAACTTCGAAGACCAGATGGACTAAGACGACACGAAGGAATATGTCTGTGACTTAGAAAATCAACAACAAATTCTGATTCACATATACTCGAAACAAATACACATTTCAAACCGAACGATTTCTTTTTAACAATTCACTTCGGGTATTTTGAAAAGTTATTATACATCTTTCGTTCCCGATGTACAATAGCATCTACTAGTACTAATGTCAAAGTAACTTTCATTAAACCCACCATTCGTACGGCTTAGCAATTGTATATGGTTGGCACTGACGAGGCGCATCTGCTCTCAGCTGCCACGCACGTGCGCACGTAGCACCCCTGTCTAGCTAAAGTCATCGCCAAAGCAACTTCCTAATCAGTTTCTTTACATGGACACTTTCATAATTACCAACCTCCACGCGAAACTGAGCCCATAATAGTAACGTTGTAGTTACACACATCGATTATTTATTATTACCACGGCTTGTGCTAAAAATATAAAGACTTGAATTTATCCTAAATCAAAATATCACGAATTTCATTAAATTTATAGAAATCATATAATACTTACGCTTTCGACCAAGGATCATCATTGAGCTCATAATGAAATATGTCATATTTTACTCTTTTGATATATGTTAATACTCTTCTCAGAAAATGTAGTTAAATCTAAAATGGTTTGACTTATAATAAACCTAGAGATACATATATTTTGAGATGAATGAAGTAGCTACTTTGAGTTTCCTTTCATTCGTACCAAGTTTTAGGCCAAACTCATCATCAAAGATGAGTTTCAAACAATCTAATCGATGGGTACAGTGGCGGATCCAACGGTGAGGTGGACAGGGTTTGAGCCCTTCCTACCACCTCCTGCATAATGGAGCTGCCCTTAAGCCCCCCTATTTGCGTTGAAGAAGAAGGAAGAAGATGGATGAGAAAGAAGGGAGGAGAAGAAAGGGAGAAAGAAGCGAGCCCCTCCCTGCATTCTATGTTGCATTTGCCAATGAATAGGTACAACAGCAGAGGAAGGAATGCAACCCTTTAAATTTGAAACACATGACAACCATTGCCCACTCATAGTTTATATGTATTCCCTTCCAAGGCAACCTACTAATGTACGCTTATTCAAGAAGTTGTCATTGATATTATTAATATGTAAATTTTGTGTTCTAGATTACACTCGTCTCTCTAGGATTTATCTTTTTTTCTTCTTAGAATTCATCGTGCAACTCAAGTATATACATGCATGCATGAGTAATTAAAAAGTTCATTAAACATTGTATTAATATACATAACAATAATTTATGG